CCACAGAAAAAAAGAAAAAAAAAATTATAAACAACACCCAGAACTTCAGTTAAATTTGAATTGCGTGAGAAAGTTTTATGGCGAGTCGCACAAAAGATGGGGACAACTGACGCAGTCGTCGCCTGTTCGGTCGCTATGTGGGTGAGGCGGGGGGCAAGGCGATGGCATAACGGTAACCGGCAACACGCTGCGTATGCGCAACGATTTAACGATTTACGTAAGTTGCTTGAAGCCCCGAAACATATGTACGGCACTTGCGGCCATTGCATGTGTATATGTACAAGTATGTATGTATTTTTAAAATGTCTCGTTCAATATATACAAAAACAATAAGAATCACATATTATAACTGTTGGTTTAGTGACAGTGGAAACGTGCTACCAAGCGACAAAGCGTAAAATCAACAACAAAATTGTAACTCGCTTATCAGCGCCAGCAGAGTTTGAGTTTACTTTTCAATTTCAGGGCTGGCGGCACGCGTTGCCGGTCTCCGCTTATCGCTTATCATGGCGCCGTCTCCTATACTACGTGTACACGACTAGTATTAGTGACCATAAACTTGTACTAAATAGTCAATATAAAACAGATTGTTTGGCCTCTTCTTGTGAAATTCAACGCCGTCACGTTAATTCAGGAGACAGACACGACAAGCGTTTAACTGCAAAGAAATAATCACATGTAGGCATGGTTGTGACCTGATAAACATTAATTAAATATTGGCTGAACCAGACTAGTGTGAGAGTATTGGGGTATGTGTGAGTGTGTGAACCCTATTTGTTATATAATTATAAATCAGGCGTTAATTTTGCATGGCTTTGTTTATGCAAATATTTACATGCTGGCGCTTTATGTGCGCCTCAGGTGCAATTGCGTTTTAAGTTTTGCACGCCGATTAATAAATACTATTACTATTTGGTTTAAAAATTTACAATTTTATTGCATGCTTTTCCCACAATTATGCTATCTACGTAATTTCGTGGGCGAGGTTCGATCTTTGCAGTGAAAGCCCTAGCTAGAATAATAATGGACTGTAAACATAAAATGTGTGAAAATCATAAAAATAAATAGTGGAAAAATTTGAAAAATCATTGAACTTATGAATTAAGAATACGGCGTTATTTGCGATGTAAGATAGATGAGCTTAAAGCAGATTTAACTGGCTATAAAGTGTTTGAATAACTTTCAATTAGTATCTGCTCCCACAGAGTGTTAACTATTAAACATATACATATGTATATTAATTATAATGTATTGGAACGAAATAGTGTTTGTTTGGCGTTCATATAAAAATGCATTACTTTCGCGCCAATGCCTATCTGGTTGGTGTAAAACTAAATCAAAACATATCACTCAATACTCTCAATTGTTTATCCCAATGAAATGCCTTCTCAAGATTTACTCGGAATGTGTTGAATGCCATTATTTGTACATACGAGCATCTGTAATTGCTAAGCACATTCTTCTCAAATACTTTAAATATATTTGGAGCGTGGCATGAGTACAACAGTTCTTATAATTATTTATTTAAATAGTTAATTTTCTTCTTACTAAGTGTGCGCATGACGCTGCAAAAGATTGCAAATATTTTGCAAGCATTGTTTGTTTATTTACAGTGATTAGTGAAAAATATTATTGCAAAATCTGCAGTCTGCTTGTGCAATAAAGATTGTACATTGTTCCAAGCGGTTGTTGTCTCTGCAACCGGTTCCATACCGAGAAATTAATTTATGGCGGCTAAACGCCTAATTTGTACGGTAATCTCTCAATCGTGGTGTCTGGCATATCACTAATTAATGGAAAAGTTTAACATTTGTTTGAATGCGCATCAAAAGAGTGCCAAAAACTGATACTTATCATTGATGGTGTCTCAGTTGTAATAAAAAAAGCGGAAAGTTTTTCTCGCGAAATATAAATACGAGTTCCTACAATTCCATGCATACAACTAAGTTGTAAAGTGTGCCAAAACAGGTCTGAAGTAAACACTCAATGGGAAATTACAATACCTTCAGCTATCGCGTGCTGTGCCCGGGAGTCTCGTGTTACCAGCCATCCAGCATTAAGTGTGCTTTTGTTTTTGTTTACGTTTAAGGGGCTAATCGGTGTTAATTCTACAGAAGTCTGAGATGATAATGCACGACGTTGGAAATGGGATTCATCTTAAATAATACGCACTAAACAAATACTGTATTGATAAGGGACGGCTACACAGAATTTGGATTTTTTATGGGTAAATCTCGTACTTAAAGCGCGGATTAAAAAATATTATTCAAGTCTGAAATTTAAGTGGGGCAAGGCAAAAAGGGAAAAAAGGGAGCAGCACTATTGTCATGGTTCACATAATTGTTGACCAGCTATGCACATCTACACACTGGTGGCCACGAGCCTGAGCTCTGTTGGCCACATGGGGCACAAAATGCTTGGCACTAGCACGCCAAGTAAATAGCACGACCTCATGGCGGTCACATGAACAGCTGCTGTTCTAGCCAGATAGTCAGGCAGTCAGCCAGCCAGCCGGCAATGGGGGTTACTGGTCACGAAACTAGTTTGTCGAGCAACCGGCAACAGGTTGTACAGTTGTCGAGAGGGCTATTCCAAATGCAAGCACTTTGACGTACTAGTGCCATCAAGTCATGCCTTTTTGAGGCTCATATGACTGGAGAATCGTCGACACATACGAGTATTACTATACATGGTATGCTAATTTGGGGCAGCCACCATTTGGAATTGTTATTGATATGAATCATTACCTTCGACGACATCGCCATTGTCGTTAAAATTTCTGCGAACTGCAACTGGTTTGAAGCTGGTGAGCCGCTCGAGTCGTGGTAGGCACGCCGGTGTCGTCTGCCTTGAGCGGGGAATGGTGCTGACGGTCGCAAGTCACGCTACTCGCCGAGAATATAGTATGCTTTCCGTACTCGAAATGAGTTAACAAAATGAGCACAATGCCGAGTACATGGCATGGGTGTGTGATCTCTATGAATACTTGACCAGTTCTCACTTGTATTTGCATTGAAGGGTGACCCATTGAGTAAGCTCAAGCGTGCGAGACAGCGAGAGAGCGGGGAAAAAGGTTTCCCCGTAATGCTGAATGGCTTGGAAGTATGCCAACATTGATTGTTCAGTCAATGGGCGCATGGCTTCAGTTGCCCGGCGATTACTCAAGCTGGCATGAGTTGGCTATTTTTAAAATCATTTTCGGATCGTATTTTACTCGCAATATTGTTTATTTATTGACATGCAAAAAGTTCTTGGGGTTTTACGTTAAAGTTTTCGGCAGATTTCGTTTATTATGCAAGCAAATCGTCAAAGTCTCAAAGTCCGCCACAGATGATTAAGCTGGGGCTACACGTACGAGTATATAATTAAGTGACTTACATAATGTCTACTGTCTACAACTTTTTAAAAGTTTAGTAAATAGCACGAATGCTGTTCAGTTGCCAACTGAACTTTTGTTTTAATTCGTGTGCTTGAACTATAATCACTTTCCTCTCTAACGCCCAACAGCAAGTTTCTTATCACAATTGGCAAGTAAAGTGCCTTGAAAGTGGGACGCTTCGCAAGCTATGCCAAACCCGATATTTTCCCTGCAATTGGTGTTTTTTTTGTGCGCAATATCGAGCTCTATGCGGACTATGGAATGGCTTCATAAACTTGAATGTAATTGCATTTATAGTAGAAGTAATCGGATTAAGAACATGGGGACTTTACTTTTTCATTTTCCATGCCTCTTGTCAGTCATATAAGTAAATCGTGCTTTAGCGAGAACTCTTGACTTATTCCCCTTTATAAAGTTTTCCAACAACTGGTAATTCAGTTGTTTTAGCAGGAATCCCACAATGTGAGCTCGTTCCTCGAGTAGGCCTTGATTCGAACCGAGGAATCACGCCGCTACCATCATGACAGAAGCATGATTAAAAATTGCCAAAAATATCATAACATTTAATAATTGTCCAACCTAGGACAGATCTTGAATAAAGATTAAAGATTTGCAAAAGATTGTTTGAAAGTAGAAGTGATTGGTGGCATATCATTTGTTGCATATAATTGTGATTATTTTAGACTAAATAAAGTTTCCTTATCAGTTTTGCCAACATTTGTGGATCTTCATGGCTTTTGTGTACGAATGATTAATAATACAAAATTAAAAAAACTAATCAACTTGCGAATTTAGTTTTAAAATTTCATTCTTGTATAGATACTTAGAAGTACCATAACAAGTCCGTTTAATAGGAAACCTCTCTGTTAAGTTTTTCTGTTTTTACACCGGTATTGACACCGGGTCGGTGGTGTTAATTAGATATTATTGTAGTTTGATTAGATTTATCCTTCTTAGGCTTTTCTAGCTTATAAGATGCTTTTTATAATTTTGATATATTTTCCTCCTATGTCGACAGTCAATTTTGTTGACATAAATAAATAAATTACAATAACAAGACAGAAAGCAACTGTATGGTTCCATTCCATTTAGCCACCGTTATTAAAAATAATGCATTTAGAATCGCTTGATACTCGTCATAATTGGGCCTACTCTGCCATTATATTATCAGTGTTTATAAAAACGTGCACAGCTGCATGAACTGATTATAGAAATCTGAATGGCCGCACGTTCCATGTAATTAGAATATGGTATTCCAAAGCAATGACAATTTTCCAAACACAACTACATTGATAAAAAACGCACAGTGCCTTGGCCATGGGGAATACCAAGCAAGTATAATGACTGTGCGGACTTAGATATATGAGCGATTTCGAGTATACATAAGGGGCTTGCCGCCATTGACGTCAAATGAGTGATTGGGCTAAGTCCAAGAGGAAGTGGGAACTTTTCTGTAAAAAAAAGCGCAGAAAAACCCGCTGAGTGGATAAAATAAAGAGACAAGAAATTTTTCATTTTTATGAATTTTTTATTTGTTTTTTGTTAAAAAAAATTCTTTGTTTTAATTTTAGTGCTTAAAATTAATTAACAATTTTTTTGTTGTATTTCTTTTTTTTATGTATGTATAAAGGTGTATTTTTTCTATAATATGAAAAGCTAACATAACAAAACTTTAATATGCAAATTAATTTTTGTTTTTCTTTCTGATTTTTCATGCAATTATTGTAATATATTGCATAATAATTTGTTCAATATCAAAATATAATCGCTATTATTAGTGTATGTAACAGTTACTATATGTTGGGCTTATAGCGAATAACCAGCAGCCGATCAGCCAGGCAGCCAGTCACGCGCTTTTGTAGCTCGTATCTGTGGTATCTATGAGTCTGGCGCGTGTGTTTATAATGTGTGTGTGTGTGTGTGTGTGTGTGAGTTGTGCGTGCACTTCCGTGCATACACAATTGCTGTTGTTGCTGTTGTTGCTGCAGCTGCTGCAAGTTCTACTGCTTTCATGATGCTGCTGTTTCTGTTGCTGTTGCTCCGACGAAGGTCGCCATCATCGTCGCCTTTCAGTTTCAATTAACAGCTTTGTAGTGCCCGCTGCCTCGCTCTCTCAAACGCTTATCAACTTAGCATATGATAACTGGGAATATGGTGTTTCTTGTTTTTGTTTTTGGTTTATACGTATAAGTGTGGCGTCAATGCGCCACCAACGGCGTAGCGTGCTTTGCCTTGCCTGCACGCCGCTCCTCTTCATCTCTCATCTCTATATACAGTATATAAATATGTACATTAGGGTTGTGTTCCAACGTCGGTTTCCGCAGAACTCTCCAAACGCTTGGGTCCAACAACCCCGTTATTGTTGATTGTTTTTGGGTTTTTTTCAATTTAAACCAAAAGTTGCCCCTCTATCTGGGCTGTTCAATTAACTGTTGACCCGCTCACACGCTCTACACAGATGGTAGCTGCACGATGGGATGTTGGGGTGCATCCCAATGGGCCTCGCAGTAGTCGACCAATTGGTTCTCTTGCTTGTTCAGCTGCTCCTCATCCTCATCGCCCGTCCAGGTCTTTTGGATCAGGCAGCATGACTCGATGGTTTCTTGGCCCAAGATGCGGCTTAACTTGGTGGCGTCGTCCACCTTGACGACGTAGATGTCATTTTCGTAGCAAAAGGCTTCAAGGAGCACCTCATGCATGTGGGTGGCGGAATCGCCGGCCTTGGGAACGGCCATCAGGCAGAAGAGGGAGCCCTCTGGGGACTTGGAAAGCACGTTGATGGCCGCCGACAGACCCACAATGACACGTGACTCGGCCTGGGCTTTCAGCAGCGCCGTCTTCACAGTACGTCCAATGAGGGGGCATTCGCCCATGTTGTGTTGTTGCTGTTTTTGTTGCTGTTGCTTGTAATGCATGCTGATTGATTCTTCTACGACCATTTTGGAAATGAAATCGAGTTGTTGTTGTTGCTGCTGCTGCTGCTGTTGTTGTTGTTTTGGTGCTGGGGTAGGCTCCTGCGCGCTAATTTTCGTGCTTTCGCGTGACACTGTCTTTGCAGCTATTTTCGTAGCCTCTATTTGCACTTGTACGTTTATATTTGGTAAAAAGTTTGTTTTTGGCACACTTGATTGCACTGTTGTTTCTTGTATTTGTGGTTGTTGTTGTTGTTGTTCTCTCAGTTTCTGGTTTTGGCAATTAACGCTTTGAGATTGTAGTATGGTTTTGCGTTTGATTAACTTTTGCTTATGAAATTCTTTTCACGTTTTCTCTGTACGCTTGAAATCCGTTAACCGTTTAGCTTGCTGCTCGTCGGCGTTGCTTCAATTTTGATTTTCAATTTCACAATGAATGCCAATAGCTGGCGAGCGAGCGCTTTTATAGGGGCCGCTCTCGCAAGCATGTGTTTCCATTGAATTTCATCAGAAGCTCGCCAATACGCTCACTGGCGTGCGCGCTTATGTGTGTGTGTGTATGTGTGTGTGGTGGGACTTTTTTTTGGGGGCTTGCTCACGGCGGTAGCTTGGCGCTCTCCAGATGCCAGCCGGTACTTGGGGCAGCGTAAAAACCAACTCAGTTGCGTGCGTGTGTGAGTGTGTGCCAATTTTATAACTTCTCTGTATTTTTATGCCCTTCACTGAAAAGTATATTGGGTTTGGTTTGTAGTTTGTAATCGAAGCTATAGATATATGTAGATATAAATAAAGCTAGGTATAGCTATATGCATACATACATACACAGCTGTAGAGAATAATAGATGTGAGAACATTTTTTTTTTTTTTTTTAATCTTGCCTTTCGTAATATATATATTCTCAATTTATTTTCAATTAGTTTTCAAAATAAACATACTTCAGCGACAAAACAAATACGAACTATTAAAAATGACTTGGCGTTTAGTTAATTCATAAAATACAAATATTGCTGCTGGGCGAATAATAGGTGTGTGAAAACAAAATTTGTAAAAAATATTGAAATTTTGTTATTTATGGTCCCGTATTGTACTGACTTGATTAGATCACACTCCATACCCTGAATATCCGCCATTATTCTTGATGATTTTTTCGTTTCCTGCAGACTTAAAGGATATCAACTTCTGACAAATCTTTGAAGGGATGTTATACCAATGTTTGCCCATAAAACCTAGAAATTCATTGCCAGATCAATGGGATTGTCTGAAAAGTTCGTCAAACACCAAGAAATACTTCAATGTGTATGTTGTAAGTATGTTATGTTAGACTTACAATTGGTGATATCCGTCCATCCATCCATCCATCCAGATTTGGATCTATAGCGGTTAAGTTTTGCTGCATGGGGTGCTTTTTGGCACACTAGTCAGATCACTACATCATATAGATTTCAACAACTTTTTTGTTTCAGATGATCTTTTCAGATCCAAGAATATTTTTTCATAACTAATATTTTAACTGGAAATCATTTGTGCTTATAAAGTTTATAAATTGAAACTTGTGAACGATGACCAATGAAAATGGACAATGGGAATGGAGGAACAAAGTTTTTGTTAAAGGGTATTTAGCAGTCGAGGGTAGTTTTTTTCCCTCGTTTTTCCAAGTAAATTTTGTTTAACGCCTTCCCCTCCTACACTCTCACACAAAAAGTCTTTTTGTTAAAGAGTATTTAGCAGTCGAAGGCAAATTTTTTCGCTCGTTTTTCCAAGTAAATTTCGTTTAACGCCTTCCCTCCTACACTCTCACACAAAAAGTGCGCTCCAGCAAATTTTTATTTGCTGTGCTCCGCACATTTCGTTTGCCTTTTTTGGAGGAGCATATATTTCCGTTAATTTTGATAATTAGCAGTTTATGTGTGAATGTGTGAATGTGTTTGTCTTTCGACAGCCGCAGTTTTGTCTGCAGTTGAAGCCTGTTTTTTGGGGATATTACCATAAAGGTCGTTGTCGAATTTCGTTTGTGCGCGCCATTCCCTCTCTCTCTCTCTCTCTGTATCTTTCTCTCTCTTTGCCAGACTCTCAGCTCCAGAAGAGCTGCCGTGCTCAGTTAGCTGAGTGAAAAGCAGTTGCAAAACTGAGTGTATTGAATAACTATCTTTTTTTTGACACCCTGTACTTTCTATTATCAAAGCCATTTTCACAGAACAGAAGATTTGGAATATAGTAGAAGAGGATCGCTTTCACCTTAATTTGTTTGCTCACATAATTCTCGTAAAAATTAAAATTCTGCATAATTTATAGCCTTTTCATATGCTTAAGTGTCCATTTAAACGATTTTCTCTTAATTTTCAGATACTTATTTTCGAGCGAACTCAACAAATTTCCACGTAGACAGACAATATCATGCTATGGCTCATACACTTGGCTGTGGGCCAAATGATCGATGGGTCGTGAAAGTAAAAGTGTTCCCGATTTACTATTGTCAAGGCTGTGTTCAACATTTGACGTCAACTTGTGGGTGATTGCCAAAAACCTAATCATTTCAAATTAATTAATGATTTTTGGCTGGGCACACGACAAACAAGTTTATAAACATAAGTTTATTCGTATTTTCACATGAATTTTGGTGAATGAAATGAATTGATGCCAGTCGCTGGGGGGTAATGTCGGATCGTTGCATATATCGTCAAATTATGAATATCGGCAGTCTGAAATGAAGGCAGTGAGGCAGACGAAAAGCAAACATAGCAAAAAAAATACGCTAAATGATAAACAAGTCTGGAGTGTATCTGGTTTTTTTTCTCCCTAGACCAAGAGGGGGTCGCACGTGGCTTATGGTCGTGTCTGTGTCGCGATCTATGGACTGTCAAAAGGTGTCATTAGCCAGGAGTTTTTCGAACCTAATCCTAAGAGTGCATGCGTGTGTTTTGTGTTTGAATTGCTTTTGTCTGTACTGCCTTGCATATGGTACATTTTATCAATTGAACTTAATGCAATATTTTATTCATTTTCATACTGTTGTTATTTTCGGCATAAACAAGCCACGCCACTGGGTTCAATTACCGCTCAGAAAATATTGGCGCGCATTTTTTTCTGCCAATTATAATAAATGCATTTTTCAATTTGTTTTTTTCTTTGTATTTTCTCCCTTATTCTCCCTTATTAAAGGTGTACATTTTTGCTTAGCTAGAATAACACATTTTATAAATAGCCACTAGCATAGGTACACACCTATATAGATGTGTAAATATATATCTGCAACCTTTCTTTTTCGGGGAATGGAATTTTGTTTTTGTGGATGGTCAGCAAATAAATGTGCTCAATATGTTTATTATTGTAACTACTTTTCGAATTAAATAAAACGCAATTTATCGGCTTTAAATAGAATATGCTTATAGTGCCACCCAAGTGGGGCTACCATGTTCATATCTTTTCAGATACTAACATCACCCGGTCGCGTGTTCTCCGATAATAAGTAGATTAATGAAATATAGCGGAGGCGTTTTTGCAAAGTTACAATTTCTTAAATAATTTTTATAAATATAACTACGCCGTAGACCCTAAAAAAGTTTCCTTTGCAAGATAATTATGGATCAAAAAAAAAGGTGTATTGCTTTAGCACCGCCCTAGTATGGAAATCAACAAAAAACTGAACCAACTGTACCGCGTGTAATAAATTTAAAAATAACTTTGTCACGTTCCCACAGAAAACATTTCACATAAAATATAAAAGATTAGCAGTTTAACGAACTTCTTGGAAAACTGTAATTTAAATTTCATTAAATTAAAAATAAAAAATGCTCGTTAAGGGTATTAAATTTATGAACTCCATTGAACTGCAAGTGAAAACAGTTGAGTTGACAATTTCTGGGCCTCACACTCCCATACAGAGCGGGGGCAGAATCGAATCGAATGTGCTGACAATATGAGGAAACTCTCAACGAAATCTGCAGGAAATACTGACCTATGTATAAGTTAATAACAACAACAAAAATACGAGTATTCTTGTAGTTTATTTTGTACATTGAGAAAACACGGCTTGCATAATTGCTTCGTAAGGTAAACAAAATACGATACGATACGATATCGTGATAAACATATGTACATACATTTGTACTCAGCATGTACTATAGCTTGAAAAACTTGCATTGTTAGTAATCGGAGCGCATTCAACCTGCTTCAGCAAGGGGCATCAAGTTTTTGCGCGCCAAATTTTCCTCGATTCTGGCCAATGAACTTGGGCCGTGGCTTGTTTACTACCAACTAAATGGTACAATTGCCGGAGCACGTACCGGGCACATGAGCATCGTCCGATCGCACTGATCGCACAGTAGATAGCGAAGGTAGCTTTGGGAAGGGCAGTTCAATTCATGATATGCACATTTCGAATGTTTGGTGTACATTACAGCAGTTCGTGGCGGACGCACAAGTGTTGAGTCATTCTCCCAATTCCAAGTATGTATCTGGTATGCTGTCCGAACGGGTTTTGAGAATTCCCCAAATAATGCGTGTCTTTTCATTGAGACAAATTCGAAAGCCAGCCTCGCAAGATCGGTGCAAAGTCCGGCAAAACCGATCAGCGACCGAGCTCACGTGTGCACCGCTAAGAAAACGTTTCGGCCATACACGAGTATATATGCCATGAACCAGTTTAGAGCTTGGTTTTGGTACCATACTAGCTACAATGCTGCAACGGCGACACTTGCATGCGGCTAGGGGGTTTTTTTGTTGGGGAAAACCCCAAATGAACGGTGCATTCCAATGCAGAATGCTGCATGCCTTGTGGCCATAAAAAGCCCCAATGCCAAAAGAGTCTGTGAGAAAGGCTGCTTATCTTCAAATATAGTATTTCTGTACTTTTTCTGCTTTAAAGTGATGACAAATCGACTTCATATTTTTGGAGAAGCTCGTATTTTTCTGAATTAACAGATTTGCAAGTACTTCCCAAATCACTATAATGGGCATTTATTTTTGGCGAAACGTGCAGATTTGTTTGTGCAAGCAATTGGAACATATTTCAAAACGGAATATGTAAACATAAAACCCCCCTATATGAATATAACATGTGTAATTTTAGGTTGATTGAAATTCCGCAAAAATTGAAAATAAAATGGAATTTCAGAAGTCTTGGAAGTTCTCTAAGGTTTTAAATTCAATAGACATAAGTAGATAAAATTCATAAAGCTTTATCAAAAAGAGTAAAAAAAAGCATGGGAACTTAAGAGCGTGTTTTCACACATGATACAAAGAGACTAAGAGTTAAGCAATTAACAATTAACTGCAGCTTTTGCACTCTCACAATAAGCTATGAGCCGGACACAGACACAGTTAGCGGTAAAGTAGACAAGAAATTTACCGAGCGATCCGCTTTCACACAAAATTTTCAAAATTATTTCTCACTGCTTTTTATTATGGTTTCATATATTTTAATTTAATTGTTACAATTGCAGCGGGAATCAACAAAGCACTTTCAAATTTCATATAACAATCCTTTAGAACTAGAATTGTAACGGAATTATTGCGTCATTATAATTAAAGTATTTTTACTATTTTGCATCTAGTATATACGATAGTAATTTATTATTAAATATTTTTTTGTTATGATTGTAATTCAAAATAGCATTACTTCAAAAAAAGGTTGACTGCAAATATATGATTTAGCTTCTTAAAGAAATTAAACAAAATACTAGGAAATTAATCTATTACTATTTGTTTAAAGTTGAAAACTTAAAGTGCAACGTATTTTTGTATTTCAAGCAAGTTGGCAGCATTAAAAGCTTTTTATAAACGTAAGAGAGAACTTTGCGCATAAAAGAGCGCACAATGTTAGGAGCAGCTCCACTTGAAGCACGTGTTGCCAATGTTTTACCGGCATTTGTGAAAGCTTTTTTGCTGATTTTTTATTGTATACAAAATAAACAGCTGAGAGCAATTTAAGTGTTGGCAAACAAAAGGCAGCAGTCATTTCAATCTTTGTTCTAACAACCACAATGCGCAGTTTTTTTTATCAGATACGTACAAGCTGGGTAATCTAGTTTAATATTATGCACGCAAATATTATAGTTATTAGGGGTAATTTGTTATTTTGCAATGCAAATTTTAAAAGCTTTGGGGCGTCGCTAGGCAACACTAAAGAAGACACAAACAACAAAAAGCTTCCACTTACATCACAAAGTCAAAGAAGTCAAAATAAAAATAAAACAACAAACACAAGATGACGAGGAACAACAACTGGTCACCGCAAAGAAACCAAATCGAAGTTTAATACCCAGTAAAGAATAAGACCAAAGTACATATATGTAGTATAGTATATGTATGTTTAAAATGGGAAAGAAGCCAGTTACGAGAATGGAATAAAACACTCCGCGAAGCAGCGCCGAGCATTCAGTTCGTTGGTGGCATTGAATGCTGGCGGAAGTGACGAGTCGCGGAGCTGGTACAAGCATAGACGTTTAAAGTAGAGCGCCAGTATCTGTGTTTACATGTTTGTGTAAATCGATTAAAATAGTGAGGGAATCCAACTCGATCTGAGGTAAACACGCAACGTAATTTACAAACAATGGAGCTCCTGAAATTCGCGTATGAGAAAATATTTGGCGCCGACACAGAGACCGAAGGCCAGTGCGCGTAAGTATTAGTTATCGTGGTATTATTGTTGTCTATTGTTGTGGGTGGCTGGGGGATTCTGTCGAAAGCCCCGATGCTGCACTGTGCGAAAACCACTGCGGGGTTTTTCATCGAATATGATTCATGAAAACCGTTTCCTGTCTTGTCTCCTTTCGCAGACCATGTCAAGTTGTTTGCTTTGGCAATGTGCTGCTTGATCACACATTTCAGTTGGACGATCCGGAGCTGCTCCAGCGGCACAATCTCGAACCGGGCTCCAAGGGAGAGATGGAACTAGAGGAAATAGAAAAACTTGTCACAGATGCCAGCAACAGGTAATAAACAACTTAAAATTCTTTCAACATGCATTCGCTAATTGACGCTATCTCTTTTTATTTTTTTCTTGGGAATGTTGGCAGTGCTAAATGCCTCGTCAATCCAGGTGGTTCGGCGCTCAATACAACCCGTATTCTAAAGAAGCTGGGCACTGAGGCACAGTTCTTCGGTTCTGTCGGCTCTGACAAGCGTGCCGAGCAGCTACGAGATGTACTGCGAGAGCAATGCATCAATGCCAGGTAGTGGAAAAAAAGAGAAATTGCAGTTACTTTTGTTGCTCTGACTAAACCCTTTTTGTGGTCTTGCAGATTGCAAACCATCGATGACACACATACGGGTCAATGTATTTGCTTTATATACAAAGATAATCCCACCATGTACGCCAATATTGGGGCATCCGAAAAGTTCTCGTTGGAGGAGATCTCGCGCATCGCTAACAATAACGAACAAACGTTTCTGCGACCCATCGAACGTAAGCAAATACTCTACATCGAGGGCTTCTTTTTGACGCGGCGCACGGATGTTTGCGGCCATCTTGTGGAGAATTATGTGCGCAGCCGTCGACGCCTGGCTGTGAATCTCAGCGCACCTTACATCGTCCAGCAACAGTCCAAGACTCTGCTGAAATTGATTGAACGCGCCTACTTCGTGTTCGGTAATCTGAAGGAGTTTGAGGCGTTGTGTGACGTGACCGATTGCAAGAGTGTGGAGACCTTGGGACGCCAACTACTTGAGCAGAGTAGCGGCCCAAAAATCATATTGGTCACAAATGGAGCTTCAGGTGTGCGGTTAATAACTAACTATGTGGGAGAGAAGGAGCCAGCCGGCATAGTATTGATTGAGGATTTTAAAGCACCGCGTGTGGAAAATGTTGTGGATGCCACAGGGGCAGGGGATGCGTTTGTGGCGGGCTTCTTCCACAACTGGCTGCAAAAGCGCTCCATCACTGAATGTGTCCGAAACGCTATGGATGTCGCAGCCACCGTGATCACCCAATTGGGTTGCAACCTGCCATAGCAATGGGGCAGATAGGAATCGCCTTAACAAAAGCAAGAAACAGCAATTTAGACTTATTTAGTACATACTTTTATAAACATATGTATGTAGTTCCTCAGGATTGCTCTTTTTGCACTAATTTTTATGTACTTGTACGTATTTTGTATGTACTTAACTTAATTGTAATCTTTCGACACGCATAAACGCTGTAGGCCACATATTCATATAAAAGTGATGCAATTTGTTTGTAAAGTCTGGCATTTTTTCTATAAATGTGTTGGGGCATGGCCCACTTGCCACCAACGCACTGAAAAGGCAAACAAATTTTTGTATGCCAATGATTCGTATTGTGTGAGGTTTATTCGAGATAAATGTTGTACCCTATAGTTGAAGAGTATTAGGGTACAACGAAACTGTTTTGTTCGAAGCAACATCCAATAGGAAAATTAAGTTGCATTAGTATGATTAACTTTATGACCTTCTGATCGTCTATCCGTCTGTATGAACGCAATATTTTTGGAATGCATCAACATTTTTTGCAAGTGCATTTATGCAGAATATAACTCTCCAAACTATATTCTTATATCTGCACAATAAATGTAATCTCTGCCCAATCCGAAGTTCATGCGCCCTGCGAAATGTTCTATGTTTCTTAAATTGAATGGTTATTTTGTATAGTTTAAAGAAACGGTTTTCGGTTGCAGTGTATACACGAGTTCGACACCCTGAACTCTAGTTTTTGAGATTTTTTTTATAATGAACATTATGGTAGCCAGTCATAGTTAATCTTCTTAAACATTGTCATGGAATGTGTGACTAATGTTTGCTAGAAAAGAACGTGGGCACAGAAATAGCTGCAACCGCGACTACATTTAATTGACTCATTAAAATAAAGTAATTCGCGAATGTTTACAACTAAGGTTATGAAAAGGGTAGACCATTTGTGAACATTTAATTTATTATTTACTTTATATACTATACATAGTAGTATATACCATCTATTGCCATCGAAGCTGTGCTAGATTTTACGCTGCGGAAGTTTTTCCTTCTTTTACAACTGGAAGCTATTTTTTGGAAGAACTTAAAAGAGCTATTGGATGACTGTTGACCAAGAGTTCGTGAAGTTGGTTTTTCAAAATGTAATGATCGAAAAAATTGCCAGGAGAAAGTTATACACAAGATGGTGCAATTATTGCAAGGTCTGAGAGATCGAAAAGAAAGAAATGTTTAATTTTGGTAATTTACTGGTAAACAGCTTACAGATTTATACCCCCCGGAATCGGGGGATTACTTTAAACAGAGCTTCGAAGACATTGAGCATGAGCTCTCTCTCTTTAGCTTTTAATTATATTTTATCTTTTATTTAAGTAATTTAAATTTGTTATTTTAATTTAATCATATTACTTCTTTATAGATTCTTGCTATTTTTTCTGCCCCTTTTCTTTTTGTTAGGTCAAATAACGTCTCTGAAAATTCCCCCACCGGGTCGGATTCGTTATTAGAAATGTTTGTATTTCTATGGGCTTTGTTTTTCTTCAGTTTAATCTAGTATAAGTTCTGTATTGTTTTTGATAAAATAACTAAAATAAATAAATATTGGAGAGGATGTAGGGAAATGTATTACAAGCATTTTACCTACATTTTATTTCCTCAGATCCGGCTACTGTCGCGCATTAGGCCTTAAGCTTAAGTCGGCTTAGTACTTATCTTGAACAACTAACGTGTTCACTAGCTAGCTCTTGTTAGAACTATGACGGCATTAACAGCAAAGCGATAAGTAGCATGTCTAGATGCCATCAAAGGCAGAGAATCTTAGTTGTTACAGATACATATACCCGTACTAGGCATATTATTTTTTTGGGGGTTGTTGTGCGTCACATGTGCCAGCAAATCGTTGGGGAAACTAAGCCGCATTAGCCACGCTTGTTGAGCGACTTGTGCAAACAGTTGATTTGAACAGCTGATGCAAAACTCCGACAAACAATAAACAAATAAAGTTGGAAGATTACTCAAGCCATATACTTGTAAGAGTGTACACATAGGTATAAGTTAAAGTTGCTCATACTCGTATGTATGCGATGTGCTTTGGCAAAGCAATTTTCAAGTCGTAAAAATTGAGCTCGCTACCTAATTGGCAAAAGCGGCTTATGGCTTAGCTCGCTGCTTATTGGCGCTGTAAACTACACTCGAGCAGCTTGAAATGTGCAAAAGCCAATATTGACATGGCCAACAAAGCACGCCCACTCAATAGGTAGTGCACATACAAGTATAGACGAGTGGGCGGGTGGCGGTCACATTATCAAACCTATACCGGTCCCAGTCCTAGACCCTCGCTTAAATCACGTCGGGAACTGGAATCTGCTGCTGTTAATTACTCGATATTAATTTTACACAAGGTCTGGCAGTCGCTCTCGCTCTCGCACTCTCACCTACACCCACTTGCCCACATACTCGTATGCTTAACTTGGGCCATGAGCTTGATTGTTTTGTGCCATTCCGGCCACTCCTTGTTCAGTCTGTCTGTCTGTCTGTCAGACTGCCTGCAACTACAAGTACACGTAATTAATGTCATCGTGTGGTTTATAGGGTTTACGAGCACTTGGAGCGGATGGCTTTTGATGTGTGCTTGAACTGAATTCCATTTTCATTTCCACTCCCATTTCCCAAGCAGACATCCAACGGCATCCTTGCCTTGCTTAGCTTAGCACATACTTAGATGTGATAATTAAATATCGTCATTAGTTCAGCTTAGCTTTTAATTTATTTTAGAAATTGCCATTGTAAATTGCAAAGGATATGCAAGTGCTGCAAAATATGCATAGTCGCCTTTCTTCTTTGTACGCATACCCGTATACATATGTATTTGCCGGTCATTGATTTATGGGCAGCTTGGCGTATGCGTAATAACACGGACATGGACACGTATACGCAGCGTGGTCAGCTGCACGAGTATGTGGCGTTGCATATTTGCCTCTTGACTGCGAAATATGGACGTTTGGCTTTGCCATTGCCCATGTTTGCACAATATATTGCGCATGTGACATAGACAAGCCCCAAGGCCGCACTACAAGCTCATCCATTGTCTCTGCCTTTGCCTTTGACTTTGTCCTTCGCTCAGCTTGCCTTTTTGCGGCATAACGCGCGGTTAAGTGGCCATAATGTGTGCCTTTATGGGCTTGGGCTTGGGCTTGGCTTTTTTGCTTGTCCTTCCTTCCTTGCTCGCCTCGCTGTTTGTGTTGTTGTTGTTGTTGTTGTTTTTGGTCGTGGTGTTTGTGGTTTGACCAGCTGGGTGGTTTTATTTTAATTCCTCGCCATATTTGCAGAGCCAGCATTGTTGTTGAATTATGTTATGACGGGCGCTTGTTGATTTTTATATTGTGTTTTTTTTTCCTTATGCAGACTCTGCTGTGGTGTTGTCGTCCTGGACTTTGCGCATGATAAGCGGCTGGTGAAAATATTCGGCCCTGGCATGTTTGTTCAGTTGTTAACGGATAATCCGGTTTTATTGTTTAATAAGTCATGACGGCTATCATACCCGGCTGTATGGGTGCCTATGTCAGCGGTTCGTTAGCTTTCTGATATGTTCGGCATTGATATGTTGTGCCAGCATTTGTGGTAGGACATGAATTTGAATCGTTTCTTCTTGTGGGTTTCCCCAAAAATCGATAAAATTGTTAAAATCGTGCTGTTCATGCGATTACAATGATATCTTGTGGGTCAGTTGTACATTAAATGGCGGCTTTAATGCTTAGATAGGGAAGATTATACCTTTACTATTTATACATATAAAACAATTTTGCTTTTAATTTTAGAATTATTTATTTATTTAACACGATACATATTTGGAAACTCTGATTTATATTATAATTGTAATTTAATGGATTAAAATTATGATATATAATAATATTACGTTATAATTTCAACTTAAAAGATAAGAAAGCCTAAGGGAAAAACTACAACAATGTCTATTAATGGTGGAATTATATTTGCCATTTAACCAGCTAGGCCCCGATTCACAGCCATATGTAGTCAGAGACATTATAGACCTAACAAACTTTTAAAAAATTTGAAAGAGGAGGAAAATAATTCCACGAAACAGCTAGTTAAGCATATAGAGAAAGTGAAAACTCTGAAATATTGAGGAGCAGAAAATTGAGCGCTTATCAGTGAGGAGTTATGGTAAGCAGTGGGCTGAATGATTTATTATTAATTCATTAAATTTACTGCTTGATGCGAAACTATCACCAAGTATCCCTAATCAACATCTCATAGCCAATAATAAATACATTGCTTCCGTCGGAAATCAAAAAAATCGAGAATTAAACAACAAATAAATTAACAAATATTTAAGTGTTCAATAATACTTATATACGAACTTATACAAGTAGTAGTATTGAAGTAAGTTTCTATTAAGCTCTGCAGAGGACTAAATACTATATATAATATGATAGTAATATTTATTTATAAAACAAATGCAATGTTTTGTTTCACTCCGATATTCTCGACTTGTTAGTTCTAAACCGATGCTAAATATTTTGAAAAAGAATTAGGAATTTTGATTATATCTTCTAACATTTTGCGAACTTTTCAGCTAAACCGTAGAATAGTATAGTAGTGCAATTATAAGTTTCCTATTTGACAAATTATATGCTATGCGACACCTATTACCCAAGTAAATGCGCATTGATTGCTAAGCTCTCCAAAACGCTTCTGGAAAGTGTTGCAGGCCATCAGAAATATAAAAATCTACGAATTAGCCACCAAATGGGCTAACAAATATTATATAGCATTATTTATTTATAGGACAAGTGCAATGTCTAGCAGTGTAATTATTTCAGACCGATATTCTCAACATGTTAATTCAAAACCCATCTGAAATATTAAGAAGAATAATCAGGAATTTGGAATATATATTTAGGTATAATTTTGCGAATTTTTCAGCTAAACCGTAGAATAGTATAGTAGTGCAATTATAAGTTACCTATTTGACAAATTATATGCTATGCGACACCTATTACCCAAGTAATTGCGCATTGATTGCTAAGCTCTTGAAAACGCTTCTGGAAAGTGTTGCAGGCCATCAGAAATAGAACAATCTATGAATTAACCACCAAATTAGCTAACAAGTATTAAATAGCATAATTTATTTATAAGGCAAATGCAATGTCTAGCAGTGTAATTATTTCAGACCGATATTCTAATACTATTTGACAAATTATATGATATGCGACACCTATTACCCAAGTAATTGCGCATTGATTGCTAAGCTCTCGAAAACGCTTCTGGAAAGTGTTGCTGGCCAAGGCGTCGATTAGCCAAATAAAAGACGCTTGCCCAGCACTTGGCTATGTAGTGTCGAGTGGACAGCGTCAAGGACCAACCTACTATCAAAAGCCATGAGAGGAGTAATCGACGAGGCAAGCATGCAGCTCATCGAGGACATGCCGCTGGTTGCCATAATTGTGCGCATCTGGAGGTACTTGGGTGTGCTCAAGCCCACTCCGAGTACCAATTGGCGGAAATATTTATTCGTGTTGCCCGTCTTATTGATGAATTGGATGCAGCTCGTCTATGTGCTGCGCATGTGGGGCGACATTACGTCATTCATTTTGAATTTGTTCTTCTTCGCAGCCATTTTCAATGCCCTGATGCGCACCTGCCTCGTCATAATCAGACACGTCCATTTCGAGAGCTTTCTGATGGTGATGGAAGGCATATATTCGCAAATTATGGTGCGTGTTAGATACAATCAACCATTGTGGATTTTTCAACATATAATATCCTATTGCAGAGATCGTCCGACACTAGCTGCAAGCAGATTTTGCTGGCAGTCGAGCAGGATGCGCGTGGCATTGCCATTTTCAACTTAACAGCTTCGTTTTTGGACATTGTGGGTGCACTCTTCTTTCCACTGTTTAGTGAACAGCGAAGTGAGCGTCCCAGTCTCCAAAACCGTCTGGCGTTTGCTGAGATATTTTGTCTTTTGCAGTGCATCCGTTTGGAGTGGCTCTGCCGATGGTCAACATGACTAGCACGCCAATTTATGAAATCGTGTATATAGTGCAAGTACCGACCCCCTTTGTCCTGACTCTCTTGTACATGCCCTTCGTTAGTTTGTTTGCTGCCTTTGCGCTCTTTGGAAAAGCTATGCTACAGATACTGAACTACAAATTGGAGCACATTGCTCACCTGGACACGGAAGAGGAGCGTCTCAGAATGCTGTTCGCTTGCATTCGGTTTTATCACAGTGTGACTAGGTAGGCCAATTAATCTCTCTCCTGAGACTCTAACCAAAGAGATAATCGATGTGGGAGGTGTTTTTAGATATGTGAGGCAACTGAATGATCTGGTCACGTTTATTGTGGGTGTTGAGGCGCTCATATTTGGTGTCATTATTGCATTGCTGCTCTTTTGTCTGAATATTGTAAGTGGATCCATCTTGCTATAATAAGCCATAAAGATCACATCTTTCTATTCAGATAAGCTCGCCCACCCAGTGTATTTCTTTAATGATGTATATTCTCACCATGTTATATGTTCTGTACACGTACTATAATCGAGCCCACGACCTTGTTATCGAGGTATGTATGTGAGTTAGTTATTCATGTATGTTTGGTAATGGCATGACTGATTTGCTTTAATTGAAATGTTTTCAGGGCGCCCGTGTTACTCAGAGTATTTACAATGTGCCCTGGTATGAGGGTAGTATGAGATTTCGCAAAACTGTGTTGATCTTTTTGATGCAATCCCAAAGCCCTTTGATGGTGAGTAGCGGAACCTTTTCTGGGCATGCATTTCATTTGGCAGATTCTAATCCGGCCTGCCTTTATGTTCGTCTGCCTGTGTGCCCAGTGAGCTCAAATTCATATCAGTTGGGCTCATTTCATTTCATTCCGTTTGAGCTCGTTTCATTTCGCTTGCAGATAAGACTTGCCAACGTTTACCCCATGACTTTGGCCATGTTTCAATCCCTACTGAATGCATCCTATTCGTACTTCACAATGCTGCGTGGCGTTACCAACAAATGAGGTGGAAGCTCAAACTTTTGGCCATCGAGGCTGGGCAAATGGAGAGAGAGAGAGAGTTTGTGTTTGCAGTCAGATGCACAATCTGAGCAATGTAGATTGTAGTGGATGCTATTTGCATACGGTCGTCGTTTGAATAGTTATTCAGAAAGGATTTAGTCCGCATACTCATTTGTAGTTCTGGCATGTAGCCTGCAGCATAGTTGCAGCATTTAAGAGGTTGCAACAAATTAAGCGCTATGAAATGTTTCTATTCAAGTCTTGGTCTACTGTCACATTTAATGCACTCTTATATTGTTGTAAGGATATGGATTTAAACTGGTCTGTTTCTTCGTCCGTCCGTTTTGCTAGAACCCTAACTGTTAGTTAGGGGATTCTGCACATTATAAATGATTGATTAATTTCATAAAGTGAATCACAAAAACCGCATGAGTAAAAAAGAGTGGAAACCCAAGGTTGACTGTATTTGCATTTACAATCAAATGCGGCTGCTTATTCATAGTCTATAATTGTAAGATTTTTTATGGGGTCCCTAAGTAAATAGAAATCAAAACCCAAAAGTTTAATACCGTGTATAACATTATATATTTCGATTTTTTAAATGGGCACTTTATTCTACTCTCCAAAGGTACACTCACACTTGATCGAGGATAGAAAAACGTATACACATGCTAAATTGCATAATTATGCGTGTACTAAAAATAGTTTAATTAACATTTGTCGTATGGTTGACTATGGTAATGATACGCTGTTTCATTTAAAATAAACAACAGAAAGAAGGACAACAATGTTTAGTGTCAGGCAGCAATAACAACTTAATTTAAAATTCATTATAACAGACACCAACTAGTTAAACAATTTCCATGCTTCAAGCAGTGCAGAGCAGCTAAATGCCCAGCATGAAGAACAACAGAAGCCAACAACAACAACAACGGGGTACTCAAAAGTTGAAATGAGCGGCGGGCGCACTTGAAATACGCAAATAAACTTCAAAGGCCAAACGCTGAAGGACTACACGCTGTGTTCTCCTGCACCCAGCAATAGTGGGCTCTGATCCTGGCCGCCTGGCGAGCGCATAAATAACAAGTTGCTGTGGCAGCAGCAGCGGCAGCACCAGCACTGCAGGGTCCTACGAAGCGGGCGCGCATTTGGCTCGAGTGGCGTATACTTAATTTTATTATGAGGTGTCAAGTGGGCCGTCGACTTTACGTCGTTGAACGCCTTTTGGCTTTTGTTTGTGTAATTTATGTTGTTGCCATTTCATGGCGGCGCGCTCTCGCCACCAGCGACAGGTGTGAAGGCGCAGGACACGCCCTAATGGCAGGCTCGCAACTACAATGGCGGGTCGCAATGAGAGGACACGGGATGAAGGCGTTCTATGCAAATACATGAAGTTGCCTGCGGCCTGTCGTGCGACATCGGGCCTTGGCAGCGCAAATGGCGACGGCGATGGCGATGGCGAAAATGTTCATTTCCTTTAGGCTTTTGCTTTTTGCTATAAAGTGCTGCATACTTTTGGGCTTTGATTTTTATGCGCTACTTGATAAATAGAGTTCGAGCTCCAACTAAACGAACCCAACCAAGTTGGCTACTGTGGGAGCCAACTGTTTTCACGTTGCCACACTGCTGTGGGGCGGCAGCAGCTACAACAATGAATGGAAGCTGAAAAAAGGAATATGCAAATGATACGGAAATGTAAATGTGACGCTCACACACACACACACACACACACACACACACAAACACACTCGAGCACACACAAACTCCATCCATACATTGGCGCAAAGGCAGTTCGTCCTGCCTGTCCGCTGACCGTACACTGTCTGTTCGCCTCTCTGTGTGTGCTGCATAAAATTATCAAGTTTCCGGGCTGTGGGACGCTGCACATTGCTTTGGCAAAAAATGTTTCATTAAAGCCACGTTATTTACCAACAGCTGTCGCTTTCGCCCTCGCCATTGTTGTGGTCTAGCGCCCACTTCTGGCGTCAAAGGTGGCGCTGTTTTATAATTGAATTCATATGCATCAATGAGAGCTCCAGCCAGCCCACCCTCCAAGGTGGTTTTGGCTTCGCCAAAGGGGCAAATGAAATGAAAATGAATAGCGACACGCGAGGCAGTGTTTGTACTTGTATGTATTTGTGTGTTTGTGTTTGTGTTTCTGTTTATGCGCGTGCAGTTTCTACTCCTCCATTTCGCTGGCATTTCGTTTAAATGGATTTTCAATTGCGGTTTGAACATTTTGCATAAATTGATGTAATGAGTTTATTTCGTGCCGCTGCCATGGCAGGCAGTCTAGCAAGTAGCTTCGTTTATCCTGTCTGCTACAATTCTCGTTGCTGTAGTATTGTGGGTGCGCCACTCACTTGGCTCATTTGCAATTGTCAACTGGCTGTCAGCTTAGACAGTTCTATTGACAGTTTGCTTTTGCTGTTAATTTTAATTGTGGCATGACGACATTTGATGACATTACGTCTGACAGTCGTCGATGGTGTGGGTTTGGTCCTTCTGTGGCCAAAGGCTTAAATTGAATTCAGGTTTTAAATGTAAGCCTTAAAGCAGCTTAGGCGCTTGAGTGTTGAATAAAATGAAAAGCAGTTTTATTAATTCTGTAAAATGTGCTTGCTGAGAATTTTAATTTATTCAGTTTCTCCAAGCCATTGCGTTATCTCAAAAGATATGATTCATGTACACATTCCATATGAAGAACAAAATTATACACAGAAGCCTGTGAAAGCATCTTTAGCTAATGCCAGCTTGGCAAGTAAATTGTATTTTGAATGCAGATATACGAGTATATTGTTATCATTGCCTTTTGGCAGAAAAGTCATCTCTAACCCTTTTTGAATGAGCCAAATGGAATTTTAATAAAATTTTATACAAAAATCTCTAGTATTCTGAGGAAAAGTCACACTCTAATTTTCATGATATTTATTGCAAGTAAATATGTGTTAGCAAAAAGTGGATTGTTGTAAGCTATTAAGCCAAATAGTGACATAAAGTGAAGGCAGGAATAAAAATTCATTACCATGATAAAATAATTTTTTTTTGAAATACGTTTTGGGCTAACTGCGTCAGTTTTATTAAAATAAATGAGTCACAAAACAGTTTCATTTGTAAAAGAGTCATACAAACTATTTTGCAAAAACTTAGCAATTACCTTGCACCTAATATTACCTCTAGTAGGTAAAAAATGTAAGATCAAAATAATTAATAGTTGCTTCGCAAACAGGGAGCTGCAAATATATATTTCTCGTACTTTTCTAAGTGCCTTTTATTGTATTATAACTGTGTGCTTGTCCTTCATTTCCATTTACAATCCCAATTGCATTTATCTCATCGTTTGGGTTATTTCAAAAACTTTCATAAACGAAGCATTCATTTTCCAATTATTTATTGATGGCCATGTGGTCTGCTTTGTTGGTATGTACGAATACCTATGTATGTGTGTGTGTGTACATATGAGAGTAGCACTGGGACTCGGAAGCCTGCCAATAAATCACTTCCGTTATGCATTTGTATTAGTTTCTATAACAACACTCGGCTCGGCTCAGCTCGGCACCACTCCATGTGTGGCTCCATTGTCTGCCTCCATGCATGCCTTACGAGTGCCAGCCAGTGTCTAGCAGTTGGTGTTACTGCCTTTACTGACTGTGCCTGCAAAATATTTGCATTTTCACTTTTGATTTATTATTGTCATTGCCATGTGTAAATTGCCAAAGCAAAGGTGCAAACAAGCAAGGTAGCAGCAGCCACAGCCACAACGACAATATTCTCGGCAGACCTGAGCAATACTTAGAGGGCCATGCATCTATGCAAATGAGTTTGTATGTTTCTCTGTGTGTGTGGCCCTGCGTTGACAAGGACACATTATGTTGGCCAAATGAATGGTAATTGCGGCATAGAAACAAGTAATTGAAGTGCAACCCAGCCAGCTCTTCAAGCTCAATGGCTGCTGTGGTTTGCTCATGTGTTTGAAGTTTGTTTGAGTCCTTCATTATAGAATTGTGAGAGTGTGTGTGTAGGTGTGTTTATGTGCATCCTGCCTGTCACATTTCGATTTGTATCTAAATCAAAAATTTGCCAGACTGTTAAGTCACAAAACGTTGTTGCCTTTTGTTTAGTTTTTATTTGCATCGTCTCGGTCTCGCACAAAAAGTCATTACGCTTCCTAATTACAAGGCCAAATTAGCCTGGCAACGTTTCAGGATTCGGCTCCCGTCCTTGGTCCTCATGATGCTAGTATTGCTGCTGCTGCTGCTGCTGCTGCCACCACTAGTCACAAATTACTTCCGCTTGTATGCAATTTCCGCATGACACTGCGGAAGTGACGGCGGTTGGAGCGCATAAGCAGCTTTTCTGTTGCAAAATGTCAAACAGTTCAGCGACAACTTTATTTTGCCACAAGACAGCCACGACTTTGGCTACTGTTTCCATTTGTAGTGCTGTTGTTATTCCCATTGCTGCTTCTGGTGGGGCAAAGAGCCCGTCCGGCAATATGGCCTCACAATAATGACAACGGGAACGAGCAACAACAACAGCAACATAAGCAGATAATTACACCGGCTGCCGTCGTCCATGCTTCAAGTGATAGCGCCGCGGTAGCCACAAAGTAGAAAAGTAGAAAATTAGAAAATAAAAAAACCACAAGCGGAAAATTAACGTGACGTGCGTTCGGAGTGAAAAGAATAGCAAAGTTGGGCATTGGAAAAAGGGCGCAATGTAAATACAAACATTTGGCATAGGCATTAGTACACTGATAGAAAAATCGGTAAATAGTGAATAATGATTTGCTGACTATAGCACAAGCGCACTTAATAACTCCTAATGTAGATTCACTTAAATACAGCAATTTAGTAAACAAATTTCTACAATTTAGGAGTGTGTCTTTCCATTGTCATTGAAATTGTTTGTTTGTTGGATTTTATGGGCAAACTCTTGTTTGGCATATGACTGCCCTGCAACATTTGGGCGAAATAAAGACATTTTAAAGACTTAGCAATTAA